ATCCAGAATAGTAAGTCTGAAAAAGTCGGTCCGACCGCACACTAATGTGCGCGCAGAGCGGTCTGGCTGTCTGCAGAGCTTCCGTCCGAGCCCTGAGAAATGTCGGAGGCATGTCGGCCCATGTTCGCGCGATTTTGATGGCGTTGCCCTTATTGCACGTGAAACAGACCGCCCCGGCCATGCACCCTTGTTCCCGGAGGCCAACTCGAACAGGTTTGAGCAATGGCCGCCTTCCATGCTCTCGATCCATGGACCATGCTCGACACGTCCGCCCGCCATCAAGTTGTACGTTGAGTGGCAAAATGCAGCAGGAACTTAGTTGCCTCTAAGGCCGCCCTGCTCAAAGGCCGCCCTGCTCTCGGCATTGTGTTGTTGACTGATGGGCAAAGAAGATTCTCGAGTGGACCGCCTCGCCGGCCGAGGTGACCCGAGATCGCCAGAGATCGCCAGAGATCGTCAGAGATCGCCGCGATGATTGAGACCCCACGAGATTAATCACGCGAGACGGAGGAGGGGCTGTCATGCAAGGCGCTGCGCATTGGCCTCTACCTCAACGACAAGTACTCGATCGACGGGCGCGATCCGAACGGCTACGTCGGCGTCGGCTGGTCCGTCATGGGCGTGCACGACATGGGATGGGCGGAGCGCGCCGTCTTCGGTAAGATCCGATACATGAACTACAACGGCTGCAAGCGCAAGTTCGACGTTAAGCAGTATGTCGCAGAGTGGTCTGGCAAAAAGGCTGCTGCTGGCTCCACGTCGGCCGGCGCCAAGTCGGCGTCCGCCGGCAGGGCCAAGGCTGGCGGCAAGGCAATGAAACAGACGACTCTCGGCGGCGGCAGCACGGCGGCGGCGGACGACGAGCCGAGGGCCCAGGGCGCCGCCGCCGAAGAAGCCCAAAGTTGGCCATCCCGATTGAGGGTCTGGTGGGTGGAGTCGGACCTGAGAGTCGACGGGCGAGGCAGTGGGCGGTACTGGGTACTGCGGGGGCTTGGCTGCGCCGCCAGTGGCTGGAGGGGATAGGACGCTATGGCACAAAAGCGCGAGAGATGGGTCTTTCTGGCGGGAGTAGTCACTACGTAGTCTCGCGCCCGATGGCGATGTGCTTAGTCCATACACCTACAGTTTACAAGAGTGCAATAGAGTCGATCGCGATCGCCGCGCCGGCGCGGGCCCGACCTCCACCGCCTCTACCCGGCCACTCCATTGTTTGTCAAAACTTATGTAGACTCTCCCGGCGCGTACGGCTTCGGCTAGTCGTCTAGATACTGACTACTCGTCTTCAACACTCTACCTGCCACTTCAGCCGGATCGGCGGGTGTCCATGCGCGCGCAACGTCGCCAACGCCGCGCCCGAGCGCTCCTTCGCCTGGGGTGAACTCTTGCCGCCGCCGCCGCCGCAATCGTGCTCCAACACGATGGCTAGCGGCCGGGGCTCGATGGCGGGGAGCGAGAGCGCGCCTGTTTCACAGGCCGTGCGTGCTCAGAACAGAAACCCTTCACGGCTCGGCGCCAGAGGAGCGAAAGCGCGCCGGGCCCGCGCGGCGCAGCGTCGCCGGTGAGAAGTACTGGTGAATCGCGCCGCCGCAACACTCGCAACCTCACGCCAAGCGGAGGCGCAACGTCGGTCAGCGCCACCGCCGCCGTGCCCGCCAAGACGCGCACGAACAGGGTCAAATTGCGAACCGTCTGTCCTCCGGCCAGAATGACCCCCGCACATGTGAGAGACGTGCCGGTGGCGGCGTCCGTACAGCGTGGCGACCACGCGAACGTCGCGTCGCGACGCCGTCCACGACGACGTCCGCCTTCCCCGCCCCAGTGCCGACGTCGAGGCCTATTCACAGCACAGCTCCGGCCTTCACAACTTAATTCCGCGAACAACCGCTCCGGACGCCTGCTTGAGGCCGATGCGGCGGAGCCGCTGGCGGCGAGGGCACAACGCGGGTGCGATGGCAACCTGACGGGCGAGTGCGGCGGGCGCACAGTGATGCGTGAACGTCTCGAACCAGACTTGTGTTCCTCGGGGACGAACGCTTGGATCGAACATCTCGACATCTCGGCACATCACCTCTCTCTTGCATCTCGCAAAGCTGACCTCGAGGGCAACGAGCAACCGCCGCGCTCCGGCGCAGAAGAGCAGAGAGTGAGAGGCGATGGGGAAGAAGCAACACCGCCGCCACCGCCGCCGCCACCGCCACAACTGCCGCACCGCAACCGCACCGTCGCCGTGCGCCCGCCGTATAGCTCGCCAAACCGCGCAGGATCGCGCGACCCAGCGTCGACGCGGCCGGCGACCTATCACCGAGATACAGCTGAGATGACGCCTAGTGCCAACGCGATGCGGCAACGATGCGGCCAACCACCTACATCCGAGATGCCGCCGAGATGGCACCGAGAAACAGCGCGACGCAGCAGCGACGCGGCAAACGACACCTCGCGACAATCGCCCCCCGCATAGCGCTGCACAAACGCGATGCCGCTCGCCGCGTCGCCCTCCACGGACACGGTCTCCAGCCGCTCTCCGAACCGGTCGTCGCCTAGCCACAGCCGAAACGTGTGACGATGCCGTTCACGCCCGGCCTCTCTCAGAATCGGTCGTTGCCCGAGGGCGAGGACGAGGAGAGGGAAACGGAATAGCCGAGGACGACAGAGGCTGTGCCTGTATCTGAAGTGTAGCCGAGATGAAACCGAGATGAAGCCGAAATGCCGACGAGACGAGGGGGGGCGGCGCCGCGGTTGTTCTCTACGCGCCCTGCACACGGCTGGAGGACGAGATGGCCTATCGACAGATACGGCCGAGGGGTAGCGCAAAGATATCGGGCCGAGGTGCGGCGCACGGCTGTCCTAGGTGGTACCGAAATCGTAGTACATGCCACCGTGCCGCACGACGCTCATCGCCTCGAGGCGCGCGACAGCCACTCTGCAGCCGGCGGCGAAGTGGGTAAAACGGGCTCCACAACGCTGGAGTGTGGGGCAAGGGCCTGGGCAAACCGGGAAAGCGGTGCTGTATCTTGACGCAACTCGGCGCACGCGGCGCAGTGGAGAGGTGCGTGCGAGGCTGGTGCGCTGCCCGTGCGGCACTCCACCGGTCGCAGCGCGCCAGCCTCGCCCGCATCAAAAACGAGGTCCGCAGCGTGCGCATGTGGAACGCTGCGGCGGGCTCGACGGCCGCGCTCTCCAACGCAGCCGCCGCGGATACCCGTCTCGCGCAGATGGCTGGGTCGCACATGGCGGCGGCACCCGCGCCTTCTCCGGCGCAGCAGGCGTTCATGCTCCAGTCCAACCCGGGCGCCATCGGCTACGGCTTTGCGGGGCAGCGCCCTGAGTTCCGCTCTGCGAGCCACGATATCCACCGACCGGCGCCGTCTCTGCCCGGCAACGCAGTCACGGCACCGATGAGCATCGACGACTCGATAATCATGAGCGGCGCGCAGCAGTCGTCGCAGCAGCGCCAGCAGCAGCAGCAGCAGCTGCAGCTGCAGCAGCAGCAGCAGCAGCAGCAGCAGCTCCAAGAGGTGGACGTGGCCAGAGCCGCGCTCGCGTCGCTCCCCCCCTCTTAGTACTTAGAAGAGCGAGGCAGAATAAGGGCGACTAGTGCGTTGCCCTCTGCATGAGATGTGGTATGAGGTTCGCATGCACAAAGATATAAGTAAAGAGTACAGTAAAGACAACACACTCAGTCAAACTGAGACCCCAGCAGATGGATCGTGGGACGCACCACACATCCGTCGCATGCACAAGTATATTCCATCTCTACCGTAAACGATACAATACTACTACACACGCAGAATACGAAGAAGAGAAACACAGTGGGCTAATGGCACGGGCAGATGCGCTGGTAGTGAGAGGAGGACGTGCTGCAGAGGCGCTGCCTCGGCGGCGCGGGCAGCGCGTACACGCAGTCGCCTTCATGCGAGCAGATGGCCGGACCAAAGTCCTCCGCCTCGGTCACGGTGAAGGCGCAGGCCTGGCCGAGCCGCAGCGCGATCGCCTCCACCTCCTTGCTCTCATCCGCGGTTCCGTCGTTGAGCGCCACCTCGTCGCAGGCCTTGCCCTGGTCCGCGCACACCGCGTTGCAGGACTGCATCACCCGGCCGATGTGCCAGGTCGGCAGCCCCCCGGACAGGCCGAGGACAGCCATGGCGGCGTGCTGCATCGGGTGGCCGTGGCTGTGCTCCGCCTCGGGCGGCGGATCGGACGGGAACACACCGGCCTGGCCGACACCGTTGAAGCCCGAGGCCTGCGCCATCTGCTGAGGCTGCGCATACATCTGCTGCGCTGGAGCCGTCTGCGCCGAAGCGTAGGCCATCATGGGCTGCGACTGTGTGTAGGTTGGCTGGATGTAGTACATGGGTTGCTGCTGCTGCTGGTACACCTGCTGCCGGTGGATCTGCTGCTGCTGAGGCTGGTAGGTCTGCTGCTGGTAGTACACGGGCCGCCCCTGGTACATCGGCTGCACTCCGACCGGCCGCCGCCCGCTATACATCATCTGCTGCCAGCCTGGCATGCCGCGCCGGAATTCGGCGGTCTTCTCGTCGGGTGCGACCGGCCATTGCTGTGCCGGCGGCGGCTCCATCTCCTCCGCCTCAGCCACCTCATCAACACCGATCAAGGAGCAGGCGATGCGGCGGCCATAAAAGTCATGGGCGACGAAGACTGTACCCTTAATTGCGTGCGAACAGAGGCCGTTGACGACGGTGAAGGTGCCAGAGGTGTCGTTGGCGGGAGTCGATGACGTGTAAGCCACCGCGCCCCACGGGTCGGCGGCGATGGTTTCACCAAAGTAGTGGCCAAGAGCGTCGGCGGCGCACGACTTGCCTTTGTGAATGTGGATGCCACACGAGTTTGCCGCCTTGCCCGCGCCGTTGAGGCAGCGCGGGTCAACGCCCGCCAGCGAGTATGAGAATGTCTGAGTGTCGTTCTTCGTCGACTCGGACTCGAGCGTTACGGCTCCGCTCACCAGAAGGTTGCCGTCGTAGTTGAAGTACGGCGTGAAGCCGGTCGTCGTCATTCGCTCGAAGGTGGCGTGGAGCTCTCGGCGGGCGGGCGGCTGGGCTGCGACGTCGAGCGGGACCGGGAGGGATGGCGTGAGGGCGAACAGACCGAGCATCGCTTCAGCCTTAGCCACGACGCGTCCAATCTTGTCACGGATCCAGGTTGTGCCTGACAAGGAGCCGAGAGGTTATTCGACGGGCGGTCGTGTGGGTTACTCTGCCAGCCTTTTTCTTATTGTTGTTCAGCCGCCGGGAGGGGGGGGGGGCTTAGCCACGACCGATGCGTCCTAAGATGTGTTCATGACAAGTGCGCATAAACACAAATCA